CTTCGTTGCCGCTCCGAGCGCCTTAGTGCTTCGTCCCCGTGGGTGACGCCTTTCACCCCCTCCCGCGAGGCGACCACCGTGCGTCGGGCGCTTCGCTCGCTTAGTCCTTCTCATGTGCTCCGCCGACGTCCGGTTTCCCTCCTTCTCCCCCTCTCTCTCTGTTTCCCTGTCAGCGCTCCTCCGCTCGGCAGACTGGTCTCAGTCCGAACACCTTCGTGCGCTGCTAGGTGCAAGTTCGATTTGAGCTCCGATCTTCGTACTCCCCGAACGCTCCCGAAAAGCAAGTCTTCCTCCACGAGCGACCTCTCACGCAGACTCCTTTGCCTCCGTCCGCCTCACCGCTCTGACGATCCGTGCACTCCCCTCCCCGCCCGTTATCGAGTGCTCGACCCTCTTTTTATACTCTCCGTCCTCCATTGGTCCTTCCTTCCGTGTATCCTCCCTCCCCTGTCTCTACCAATCGCTTCGCTTTGTTCTCATCTCTCCCTGTCGGCTTCAATTTTCTTCCTTCCCGCCGTTCTTAAAAAAAATTCCCTTCACTTCCCGCTCATAGTCAGCTTCAATTTTCTTCTCTCCCGCCCTTCTTCTCAAAAAAATCCCTTCACTTCCCGCTCAGAGTCGGCTTCAGTTTTCTTCCTTCCCGCCCTTCTTCTCAAAAAAATCCCTTCACTTCCCGCTCATTCCATCCTCATACTCCCCGTGATCCAACCTTCCTTTCTCTTCTGCCAATCGCAGCCCATCGCTTCCTTTCGGTGGGATCGCGACTGCTCCCATTCTTCGTAATTAGTCGTGGGGCAACCATTTGTCCCGCGACTTGGCTGGGCACAACGCTTCCTCCCCTCCCTCGGTTGTCTTGTGCTCTCTTCCTAATGAACGCGTTGGTCGAGTCCTGCCGATCCCTCCTTCCCCTGTCCGTTGTGTTCCCCCGTTCTGGTTTGCTGCAAGCAGCTGGTGCCACTTCAGGTTTCGGTGCATCCTTGCTTTAGCCAGCGGTTTCGCCTTTTCCCGCTTCCCCTGGCCTTCGTACCTGGTACGGTGTCCAGACTTCGGAATGGTCCGCCTGTTCATATCCCCTTTCACTCTGGGGGATTCGCTTCTCGATCTTGGAGAGCACCCGTCTCGCCCTCACTTTCTTCAAAACAGTTATCAAGAATCCTCGTTGGCGGTTTCTTCCCGACCACCTAGATCTTTCCCAACTCCCCCCTTTTAGTGGTTAAGGCTACGCTTGGTTAGGCAGCACTCCCACAGTACGGTCGGCCCCTGTAGGAGTTTGTCATGCACCTGTACTGACGAGGGTCCCACCTCGCCTTGYCGCAAGAGCTTTAACTTTTCGTCAGTCGAGTGGTCTTCGAACAGTCCTCAAGTTGATCGTCCAAAGGCTGGCTTCATT